ACCAATACTAAGAGCCTAGGTAACAAATAAGAGCAATTGGAATCACTCATTTAATTATCATAAATTTATTCTAGCTGGTATTACTGAAACCTGGTGCAGTGATTCACATGACTGCAATGTTAAAATCAATGGTTATTGTGATGCTTGCAGACCAGGTGCCAGCTTGTGCCATGGCCCCAGGCCTCCCTGAACAGTTACAGATGCATAGCTGGAAACCAGTCTTGCTTACCTGCGTGTTAGCATTACTAAAATAGATATTAGATGTTAAATTGCTATGGATGTGTTTAGACTTTATAAGTGATATATATCTATATATATCTATATATATATGCATAGCATTTCATAATCTTTATGGCCCATGGTATAAAGTTATCTTGAGTATTTGCACTGTAAACCTCTGTAATTGTGTAACTCACCAAACAGGAAAAGGAGCACTGATTAAGGTAAAGTGCTCATCCATTGCCCACTGAAGGCACATGACGTATCATGTAGCATCAAAGGACAGAGACTTTGCTGATTGCATTCCATACTCCCTCCAGGAAGGAGAGACCTACGCATGAACTCATCTCATCAGTTTGGATAAAAGTCCCTGACAAGGAGAAATTGAATCTCTCTTTGCTGCTTGAGCTCTCACAGGGGTTGAGCTAAGAAACAAAAAGCAGAGACCCCCACAGGGTCATTCTGGGTTAGCCCTAAAAACATTCAGTGGATAGATTACTGCATCTCTGTCACCTTTTGGAACCATAGACTGTGACTCATTTGTGCTTATATGTTGCCTGCTTTAAGCTGTAAATAACTCTCTCTCTCTTTTTCCTACTTAATAAATCCTTAATTAGTTTACTATAGAAATGGCTACCAGTGTTGTCTTTGGTGTGAGATCTAAGGTACAAACTGATCTGAGGTAAGCGATCGGTCTCTTGGGACTGGGAGCAACCTGAATATTTTGTGAGTTTTGGTTTAAGTGACCATTTATCATTAAGTCCAGTTCGCCTGGATGGCAAGATAGACTAGAGTGCTCAAGGGGCTGTCTGTGACTCCATGATAAGACTGTTACAGTGATCCAGGAGTTCACATTTGTAACTGGGTTGGTGAAACCTAATTACAATGCACACCATCAGTTTGCTGTGTCTGTCCGGCTTTGACAGTCTGTTCTGAGGATGGCAATCACGGCTGTGAACCACTCCAGACAGCATGACAGTTGCAAACTATTTAGGAAGGACATATATAAAAGGGGAGGGAGAGAGGCATTCTAGGTAAAAAATGGCATTAGCTGTTTCCCAGTCACTGATAACTTGGAAGAAAATGATAGTGAATGCAGATAAAACATGAGATGGGGTATTAGTTGGTGTCCGCTAGAGAACACCATATCACACAACGGAACAGAATGACCAGCTTCTTACGTGCCTAACTATAATGTCTTGGGGAAAAAACCCTATGTGATCATGGGAACTTCAATCAGAGTGACATATACTGTCCTGGTAATAGAATATCCTTGGAATTTCTGATTCAAAAAGTGTTGCATCCAACATGCAACCAAAGACAAACACTGGTAGCCAATTCTATAGTAAACTAATTAAGGGTTTATTAAGTAGGAAAAAGAGAGAGAGTTATTTACAGCTTAAAGCAGGCAACATATAAGCACAAATGAGTAGTGGACCTTGTCTTGACAGATAAAGAGGAACTGATCATAGAACTAAAAAATTAGTGGTAACTTAGGTACCAACTAACTTAATGTATCTTTTTGATGAGATTACAAGTTTGATGGATAAAGGTCATAGCACTGATAATATACTTAGGCTGATGACCGCTCTGCCTCTTTGGCGACAGTGACCTTAATAATTTGTGTGTGTTTACAGTGAGGGACTGGAAACTGCAGGGAAATGTTTCTGGGGAACAGAGAAACTGGGGTTCACTGATTGTTACCTGCAAGGCAAGGTTTGGACTGGCAGAGTCTCGCGGAGTTTGCTGGCAAGGCAGATAGACTGGAGTGTCAAAAGGGAGCTGAGACACAGTTTAGCAACAGCACAGCTCTCAGTTGCTGTGGCAGAGGAGTAACACAGGATATGTTTACACTGTAATAAAACACTCCCGGCTGGCCCACGTCAGTTGACTCTGGCTTGAGGGCCTTGGGCTGTGGGGCTATAAAACTGCAGTGTAGACATTCAAGCTCCAGCTTGAACCAATAGTTGCTTACAGTTCTGGGTATCCTGAGGAGAGCAACAGATGTATAACAAGACCTAGTGTCTGGAAGCTGAAGCTAGACAAATTCAGACTGGAAAAAAAGGCATTAATTTTTAACAGTGAGGGCAATTAACCATTGGAACAATTTACCAAGAGTCGTGGTGAATTCTCCATCACTGGCAATTGTTAAACCAAGATTGAAGGTTCTTCTAAAAGTTATGATCTAGGAATTATTTTGGGGAAGTTCTATGGCCGGTGTTATACAGGCACTCAGACTCACTAGATGATCGTAACAGTCTCTTCTGGCCTTGGAATCTATGAACTACTCAGAGCTGCGTGTGTGTGATAATAGCAATCAAGGTTAAGAGAAAGCTTACTGTAGAATGAAGCCATTTTTGCAGTTCACTACAGGGAATTAGCGGCCCCAGACTTTATAAGCTTCATGTTAAGTTTCATGGTATGAAACTTACAACTAACAAGAGTCTGTCAAGTCTTCAGAATTGTAAGCATAGAGATTGAAGAAGCAATTACTACCATTTCTAAAGTTTATAAGCACATCTAACACACCTTTGAAAACACAAAAATATTTTCAACACTTACAAATGATCGCAACTCTGAGAGTATGTTTGATATTGTTGCGTTGGGGTCATCATATTCTTGTGGCTGTTCGAAGGGATGTCCTGCTTTAGTAATCAGCCAAGCAGCAAGAGTGCAAAACATGTAGAACTGCTCGCCGGGATTAATGGGCAATGCAAAGTAGTGCCTGTTTAAAAAGGGAAAAAAGTTAAATATGGGATTCTCTGAACCTTAGAAGCCTCAGTTACAGGGCAACACAGCATTGGAAAGCAGTTTCCTTAACAAGTTAGTTTGTGATAAGCTATTCACTTTTAGTAGCTTCCACTATAAATAAGGTCACAAAATTAGACCACCCAAGCCACTAGTATCTATCATGTATGTGACACACATAGAAAGAAAGAAAGACTACAGGTTTTACATGCAGTTCACATCTCCTGCCTTTAGTGAATGAGCAACCAACAAGTATGTCTTAATGAGCAAATAATTTGAGAGTGTTTTTGGAGTCCTCTGTGGAACCAAACAGACCTTGGTCCTCCTTCTCCACCTGGCTCATGCAGTTTCAATTACTCTGAATTGAGCTAGCCTCTTGCTTTTTATAAAACCCCAAATAACTCTTCTACAGCACTCTCAGACCCTTAAAATAGTGGGCTCAATTCTCTTCCCCCTTCCTGCTGACTTCCATGAAATCAGAATCTGGCCCTATTATTCCAAAGACATCACCATCAAGTGATTACCTTGAAAGGGTCTATGCAAAATGTTCCTTCCAACAAATTGTACACAGAATAACATTAATTTGACTGATGGTAGATTTCTAATGTTTCACTAAAGGAAAAAAATGCAGTGTGAAAATAATTAGTTTCAATTCCCACGAGTGGCCAAATGAAAAAAATTGGTAATAAATCTATAGAAAAACAATAAGCAAAATAAATAAATAATCAATATCAAAGGGCTGTTAACCCTAATTTAAAAAAAAAAAAAAAAAAAAGTCAGGAAAGAATTAATTCCAAATTTAAATATAAACCCATCTAGGAGAATACTAAAACAAATGGCTAATTTTCAAAACTTACATTCCTTAAAAAGACTTCCTTACATTTATCAGGAAAGCTCATTAGATGAAATATTAGACATTTGGAAGAACTGTTCGTAGAGGGGCCAAGGAAGAAGCCCAAAGAGGAAGAGGCAATGCAGAAGGACCCAGTGCCTGGCAAGTGGAAGTCACATTCTTTGTTATTATAATAAATGGGAGGCATTTTGGGCTATGATCCATTTAACTGTTATTTCAGAAGATATTACATGCAGGAGGTTTATTTAGCTTCTGTTGAGAAGAGAAGCAATGCCATTTCTGTGGCGCCATTTCCCTGCTCCCCAACACCACATGGGATCCAAGATAGAGTCCCAGAGAGGAAAAACAACTGAGATGCAACTAGCTTTGTTTAGATTAGCATTTACTAAAGCATGCTTATTTTACAAGATGCTTATTGTTACAAAAAGGGATCTGGGTAGCAGGCACAAGTGCATATTTCAGGAAGCTACCTGTCTGTTTGTAACGGTCATGCTGGAGCGCTGTTTTGAGTTTCACTGCTGTTGGCGTTGCTGTAGTGTCCTAGGCTGCTTTCATTACAAGTCCCAATGGCAACAAAGCTCCCTGAGGACGGCTATATTTTCTTAGGCCCCTGTTTAGTCGCAGTATGCTGTCTGCGGTGCGAGAGGGAGGCTGTCAATTCTACAGCTATATAGCACGCACACCCTAGCTCAGCATATTATCGATTTTTTTGCCCAACTGTTCATCCACGCCAGGCTGGTCAAGCTTGAAAACCAGGTGGTAGAAACTCCAAATGATCAGCCAGATTCTGGAGCAGGGCATAGTTGTAGTGCCCACCTCTGTAATTCACTAGCCGTCTCCATTCATTGTTATGCTGTTCAGTCACCAGCCTCTTAAAAAAATAAATCTACCTATGCAAAGGAGGTTTTTCAATGTTACTGTAGTATGCTTTGTTCTTAAACTGTTTTGGTTGTAACATAGGACAAGTCCAAGTTTTAGAAAAAGTTTCATATGGATTCAGATTCTCTAATAAAACCTATCTCCATATTTAAGCTCAACCGCCTACAAAAAATATAACTGGGAAACATTCTTAGGGCTTCCAATTTTAGGTTTTAACTAGGGCTGCCAAGCGATTAAAAATTTAATCACGATTAACTGCACGATTAAACGACAATAAAACATTTGTTTAAATATTTTTGAATGTTTTCTACATTTTTTAATATATTGATTTCAATTTCAACACAGAATACAAAGTGTACAGTGCTCCCTTTATATTTATTTTTGATTACAAATATTTGCACTGCAAAACACAAAATAATATTTTTCAGGTCACCTAAGTACAGTAGTGCCATCTCTGTATCATGAAAGTTGAACTTAAAACTGTAGAATTATGTACAAAAAATAACTGCATTCAAAAATAAAAGAATGTAAAACTGTAGAGCCTATGAGTCCACTCAGTCTTGTTCAGCCCATCACTCAGACAACCAAGTTTTTTTACATTTGCAAGAGATAATGTTGCCTGCTTCTTGTTCACAATGTCACTGAAAGTGAGAACAGGTGTTCATATTGCACGGTTGCAGCCAGCGTTGCAAGGTATTTACATGCCAGATGTGCTAAAGATTCATATGTCCCTTCATGCTTCGTCAACCATTCCAGAGGACATGTGTCCATGCTGATGACAGGTTCTGCTCGATAACGATCCAAAACAATGCGGACCGATGCATGTTCATTTTCATCATCTGAGTCAGATGCTACCAGCAGAAGGTAGATTTTCTTTTTTGGTGGTTCGGGTTCTGTAGTTTCTGCACTGGAGTGTTGCTCTTTTAAGACTTCTGAAAGCATGCTCCACACTTCATCCCTCTCAGATTTTGGAAGGCACTTCAGATTCTTAAACCTTGGGTTGAATGATGTACACATTGGTACCTGCTTTGTGTTTTGTCAAATCTGCAGTGAAAGAGTTCTTAATATTAAAATGTGCTGAGTCATCTGAGACTACTAGAACATTAAATATATTGCAGAAATTGGGTAAAACAGAGCCGGAGACATACAATTCTCCCCCCAAGGAGTTCGGTCACAAATTCAATTAACGCATTATTTTTTTTAACTGGTGTCATCAGCATGGAAGCATGTCCTCTGGAATGGCAGCCGAAGCATGAAGGGGCATACGAACGTTTAGCATATCTGGCACGTACATACCTTGCAATGCATGGGACTTTTGTAGCCAGCATTGATTTGTTTTTGAGTGCAGTTATGTAACACACACACAGAAATCTACATTTGTATGTTGCACTTTCACGATAAAGAGATTGCACTACAGTATTTGTATGAGGTAAACTGAAAAAATACTATGTCTTTTATCATTTTTATAGTGCAAATATTTGTAATAAAAAATAATCATAAAAAGTGAACAGTGTATACTTTGTATTCTGTGTTGTAATTGAAATCTGTATATTTGAAAACGTAGAAAAACATCCAAACTATTTAATAAATTTCAATTGGTATTTTACAGATTAACAGTGTGATTAAAATAGCGATTATAATTAATTTTTTTAATCACAATAATTTGAGTTAATCGTGTGAGTTAACTGCGATTAATCGACAGCACTGGTTTCAACTGTTTAGACGCCCTCCAATACCCCCCCCCAAATAAATGCATTGTTTATTCAACCACCACCGCAAAACCACCAGAAATGGTTACTCAATTCATGCTGACTTCACCCCTTGTCCAGGGCAGTATGTTTATACAAGCAACCGAAACCTCAGTATACTGCCAAGCCCACAAAAAATATAGCAATGGCACATACATTTCAAGGCTCATAACAGTTTACAAACATCACACACCCTCATCTACATCACCACGTGAACCTAGCATGAGGTTACACAAGGCGTGTCTGATATCCTTTGCCTACCTGGATCCAGCCCCACTAAAGACAGGTGCACTTTCTGGTTGCTGTATTGGGCCTGCAAACCAGCAACATTTACAGTCCACTCCAAGCAAAGATGCTCTCCTCGTGCCTCATAGGTGTTGTGCAGTGTGCAGCACGCCACAATGATATTGGCAACACTGGGAAGGCAGCACAGTCTTTCCCTGAGTCTTCTGCCAAATGTGCACTCCATCCTCATCCTACAATCACTAAGCCTGAAACTGAACCTTCTTTTGCCAGAGCTTCTGAAGTCAGGGTATGGTTTAATGAGCCATGTCAGAAAAGGGTAAGAAGGATCCCCTAAAATTAGTGGGCACAGAGACCCTGTCACTTGGAGGGACTTGTGCATGCTTGTCCAAAAAGGGACCAAAGTCACAAAACTGCATTAAAAATAATAAGATTTAAAACCAAACCAAAACAAAAACAGAGTTCTTTTTATTTACCTTCTGTGTTTTGAATGTTTGCAATGTACTAGGATCACATTTTCATACTTTATGCCTGAACAATAAGGGCTAGATTATTTTTATATAAAAACAAATGAAGAATCTCATATTCCCATGACTCCAAAGCTAGGGCTTTAAGGAACACACCAATTTTCATGGGACTTCTGACAAAAATCACGAGAGCTGACAACACTGCAATCTGCCAATGTACAACAAGTTGTAGGATTGAGACCTTAGATTGTAAACTCTTCAGGGCAGGAACTGGCACATCCTCTTAGATGCAATTACTTCACACAACAGTATGGGTCCCTGATCCCACTGGAAGACTTTGGGCGCTAATACGGTATAAGTAATAATTTCACTAGTTCTCCAGTCTCTGTAGTTATCCAAGGCAGATGAAACCTGAATATCTCATAATACTTATTTTTAAAAATAGACACAAACTTCAAAGAAAAAGAAACAAGACTTTTGGGAAGTTAATAAACTTGACAAGAGTTAGGGCTTGTCTACACTTAGGCTATGTCTACACTAGCACTTTTGTTGGTAAAATTTTTGTCGGTCAGAGGTGCAAAAAAACCCACACCCCGACTGCCAAAAGCGCCAGTGTGGACAGAGCTGAGTCGGCAGGAGACACATAGCTACTGCCACTTGATGGGGGTGGTTTAATTATGTCCTTGGGAGAGCTCTCTCCTGCTGGCATAGGGCGGCTACACAGGAGACCTTACAGCAGCACAGCTGCAGCAGTTCAGTTGTTGTGTCATAAGGTCCCTAGTGTAGACATAGTTTTATAGTGCTGCAGCTGCAGCACTATAGGGCTTAATGAAGATGCTACCTATGACAATGGGAAAGTATAGCTAGATTGGTATAACTATGTTGCTCAGGGTGGTGGATTTTCCACACTGCTGAGCGATGTAGTTCTACCAACTTAAGGTTGTAGCATAGACCAGGGCATAAGTAGACAGCTTGCGTACTGCAACCAGTGCCAATCCTGCTAACGAATATCTTGCCCTTTCCTTGTGCACCCCGTTCTGTCTGAACCCGTTCTTTCCCACCTCATGCTTAGATTGTCAGCTCTTTGGGAAAGGGACCATCTTTCTTTTCCTGGGCTGTACAGGGCCTGGCACAACAGGGTCCTGGTCCACGACAAAACCCACTCCCGTCCAAGAAGCGAGCAACAAACCACTCCTACTCTCCCCGGTGTGTGTGTGTGTGTGTGTGTGTGTGGGGGGGGGGGGGGCAGTTGCTACCAAGAGGCCCACATACATCCCCATGCCCCACGCACCCAGACTGTGGAGGGGTCAGACCCAGCAGCCCCCGTGCCCAGCACGGAGAAGAGGGTGAGAGACAACCAGGCCCCCCCCCCCGACGCTGGCAGAGCATAGCCCGTCCCAGTGCTGAGCTGCGGCTGCCGGGGGCGGGCGCCGCCCCTTCAATCCCAGCAGGCCCCGCTCCCGGGGACACCGTCCCCTGCCCCTCCCCCGCGTGTGGGTGGGGCGGGAGAAGAATGGGCCCGAGTCCCGGGGCGGCAGCGGGGGTCAGGGGTCACCGGCCGGGTCAGGGGTCACCTGGACAGGGGCCGCAAATGGTGGCGCCGCAGCGCCGCCTCCTCCTCGTAGTTCAGCAGCTTCAGCTTCTCCAGCAGATCCTCCATCATCGCAAACATGTGATAGGCCGCGCCCGGGCCCCGCTCCGCCGCCACCGCCGCCGCCTCCAGCTCCTCCCCGCCGCGGCGGGCGCCCCCGGCGGCCTCGTCCGCCATCAGCAGCCCCCCACCGCAGAGTCGGACCCGCAGCCCAGCCGCGTCACCGGGGAAACAAACACCACCCCCTGACCAATCACCGCTTCGCCACGCCTCTCCCAGCGGCTGCCGCTACTCTGAGCTACCAATCATGTCCCCGCTGTGGCTCAGGCCGCGCCATGGAATATTTTTCACCAATCATCTTCCCAGACTCTGGCACAGGCCCGCCCCCCCCGCTCACTCATCCAATCACCTCTCAGAGCCCCGCCCCCTCATCCTGTGATGAAACGGGCTTCAGGCTCGGCTACGCATTTTGCGTGCGTCACTTCCGCTCGAACACTGTAGAGCAAAACTCTGGAGACTGGGCTGCACGGATAGGTTGCAGAGCAGTCACTCCCCTGTCTTCCGGTGGGGGCAGGCTTCGCTTCATCTCCCCCGCCCACTGATTGGCTGAGCGCAAAAAGGGGAGGGAGGAGCCGTAGGAGCGCACAAGGGGGCGGGGCTGAGTGCCAGAGCCGAGAGGTGATTGGAGGAACGGCCAGAGGGCCGCCCCCGCCCCTACTCCTACTTCGCAGTCTGGCCGGTGGGCGGGTGACGCCTCACCCTTAGCCGGGAGGCTGGGGCGCTGGCAGCGCCACGGGCCCCCACCGTGGGGAGCAGGCGGGGGACCCGCAGCAGCCGCCCCGCCCACCCACGGAGGAGCGGGCGGGAAGCGACCCCCATACGCCGTCCCTGCTGCCCACGCTCCGGGGAGGGGGCGGTGGACGCCTTGGGGGCGCCGCCCCTTGGCTGCAGGGCGGAGCGGAATATGGCTGAGCTGAAGCCCGAGCCGTGGCGTGGTGACGCGACTGGCTGCGGCTGGGCAGCTCGGGGTGGGGGGCAGCTCGCGCTCTTGCTGTGCCTGTGGAAAGAACAGGAGGACTTGTGGCACCTTAGAGACTAACCAGTTTATTTGAGCATGAGCTTTCCTGAGCTACAGCTCACTACATTGGATGCATAAAGTGCAACGTACAGTGAGGAGACTTTATATACACACAGACCGTGAAAAAATACACATTGTAAGGAGCGTGATCACTTAAGATGCGCCATTACCAGCAGGAGCCTGGGGTGGGGGGAGAGAAAACCTTTTGAAGTGATAATCAAGGTGGGCCATTTCCAGGAGTTAACAAGAACGTCTGAGGAATGGGGTGGGGGGAGGAATAAACAAGGGGAAACAACCTCAGCCTGGACCAGTCCATACAAGAGATCCACTTCCTGGACACTATGGTGCTAATAAGCGATGGTCACATAAACACCACCCTATACCGGAAACCTACTGACCGCTATGCCTACCTACATGCCTCCAGCTTTCACCCAGACCACACCACACGATCCATTGTCTACAGCCAAGGTCTCCGATACAACCGCATTTGCTCCAACCCCTCAGACAGAGACAAACACCTACAAGATCTCTAGCAAGCATTCTTACAACTACAATACCCACCTACTGAGCCAGAAGAGTACCCAGAAGTCACCTACTACAGGACAGGCCCAACAAAGAAAATAACAGAAAGCCACTAGCTGTCACCTTCAGCCCCCAACTAAAACCTCTTCAATGCATTATCAAGGATCTACAACCTATCCTGAAGGACGACCCATCACTCTCACAGATCTTGGGAGACAGGCCAGTCCTTGCCTACAGACAGCCCCCCAACCTGAAGCAAATACCAGCACAGATGTCAAGAATTATAACATAACCAGTCGGAGAACACTTCAATCTCTCTAGTCACTCGATTTCTGATCTCAAAGTGACTACCCTTCAACAAAAAAACTTCGAAAACAGACTCCAACGAGAGACTGCTGAATTGGAATTAATTTGCACATTGGATACAATTAACTTAGGCTTGAATAGAGACTGGGAGTGGTTGAGTCATTATACTAAGTAAAACTATTTCCCCTTGTTTATTCCTCCCCCCTCCCCACTGTTCCTCAGATGTTCTTGTTAACTCCTGGAAATGTGCTGGAAATGGCCCATCTTGATTATCACTTCAAAAGGTTTTCTCTCCCCCACCCCACTCTCCTGCTGATAATAGCTCATCTTAAGTGATCACTCTCCTTATAATGTGTATTTTTTCATGGTCTGTGTGTATATAAAATCTCCTCACTGTACTTTCCACTTTATGCATCTGATGAAGTGAGCTGTAGCTCATGAAAGCTTATGCTCAAATAAATTGGTTAGTCTCTAAGGTGCCACAAGTACTCCTTTTCTTTTTGCGAATACAGACTAACATGGCTGCTACTCTGAAACCTGTCTCTCTGTGACGCATGGAGTTAGTTTCCCAGACCTGAACCAGAGCTGTGGGTAAGCTGGAAAGCTTTGGCTCTCTCACCAGCAGAAGTGGGTCCAATAAAAGAGGTTACCTCACCCCCCCATCATCTCTGGGGTCTGGCAGGGTTTCGGTGTTGAGAGTTGGTAGAGTTTTAAGAACAAGGATGTGTGAAGGCTCCACCCCTGTGTTTTTGGGAGGGTAAGTCTAGGGGTTTGGGAAGTGGGATGGTTTCCACTTGCTCCTGAGGATAAATTTGGCCTGAGCCTGTGCGTTTCCCATTGTCAGTGTCAGCTTGGTAGCACCTCGCTTTTAGAGGATGAAATTCATCTGCTGCTCCATGAAAGGCACAAACCCAGCTGCATACAAGGGTACTACCAAATACCTACTGGGAACAGATTTCTCCTGTCCCCAAAACCTTTCAGCTGCAGTAAATGAGTTTGGTAATTTTAGGTTTCAGAGTAGCAGCCATGTTAGTCTGTATCCACAAAAAGAACAGGAGTACTTGTGGCACCTTAGAGATTAACCAATTTATTTGAGCATAAGCTTTCGTGAGCTACAGCTCACTTCATCGGATGCATACTGTGGAAAATACAGAAGATGTTTTTATACACACAAATCATGAAAAAATGGGTGTTTTATCACTACAAAAGGTTTTCTCTCCCCCCACCCCACTCTCCTGCTGGTAATAGCTTATGTAAAGTGATCACTCTCCTTACAATGTGTATGATAATCAAGGAGGGCCATTTCCAGCACCTGTGGCACCTTAGAGATTAATGCATTTATTTGAGCATAAGCTTTCATGAGCTACAGCCCACTTCATTGGATGCATAGAATGGAACATATAGTAAGAAGATAGATAGATATGTACATACATAGAACATGAAAAAGTGGAGTAAGAGGCTAATTAATTAAGATGAGCTATTATCAGCAGGAGAAAAAAAACTTTTGTAGCGATAATCAAGATGGCCCATTTGGACAGTTGACAAGAAGTTGTGATGATATTTAACATAGGGAAATCGATTCAATGTGTGTAATGACCCAGCCACTCCCAGTCTCTATTCAAACCCAAGTTAATGGTATCTAGTTTGCATATTATAAGAACAACAAACTTTCAGTCCTAAAGTCTTAATGGTATGGTTCAATAGACTTTTGACCTCCAAGGAATGTGGCTTACCCCACCCACCTCTTTTTATAGAGAGACATAGTTCAGTTTTGAACAACTGACTTTGTGCTTCAAGGGGCAGCACTGATTTCGTTTACTGTGAGTACCATTTCTGTAATTTAGACCAAATGCTTAACAAAAATAAAAATACAAATATGATTAACTGCTGTTAAAGATGAGGAAATGTGAGTTGTGCTATTTTTAGAATGGATTTGTTTGGTCAGTAATTTAACTATGTTTGACTTCTTAAAGTACTTTCAAAACTAAAATGCCATAGTTATTGTCATATTTATTCCTTTAATACATTTGTTTATGGGTTTCGTACTACTTAGTCTGTTGCCTGAACTCAGGCTCACAATTCTTTGTCTAAATTTCAACACTGAATCTGATTTTTTATTTACTACCATTAAGTTTGACTTGCTAACAACTTTTCAAAGCTAATGTGAATTCAAATATCAGTCAGTCATTAAGAATATATGCAGTGTAGTTGTAACTCTGTCAGTCCTATTCTTAATATACAGTCTTAATGGAGAGACAAGGTGGATGAGGTAATATCTTTTATGGGACCAGCTTCTGTTGTGTTTTTGTTTTCATTTCAGGTGGCTAAATTTAGGAACTTCCATTGTTCTATACAGTGTAGTTGTAGTGGTGTCTGCTGCAGAATATTAGAGGGACAAGGTGGCTGAGGTCCAAAAAAAATAGACCTCACCCTCTTTGTCTCTCCATTAAGATATACTCACAAAATGTTTAGAACCTCTAACAATTTGAAGAATATTACACTAGGTCAAACATGGCTTTGTTCTATAGATCCATCTCAGCCAGTATACCCACTGATTTTTATCAAGTCTATCTTTTATTTGGGCTAAATGGCAGGAGCAGTTAAATGCCCCTTTGTGTAGTGATAGCTGAAGCAAGAGGAAGCCAGCACACAAGGCAGGGTGCCACAGGGCAAGCCCAATCAGAAGCTAAGCCATGTAAGTAGAACGGTTTACCTGGGGACTGACTGGAAAAGCAGAGACTGGGGGATTGATTGGTTTCATTTCTGTTGTGTGTTTGAGAGAGTGAGTGAGGCAGGAAGCTAAGAGACAGAGCTTCTTTTGAACACAGAACTCACTAGAGAGGCAGGCTCAGATTTCTGGGTACGGAAAACGCCTCTTGTTTAATTGGCACAGTTCAAGGCATCGGCACCTGTACTCCCTCTCTGTGGTCCAGCAAGTGCACCTGCTCGAGGCTTCTGGCTTCCTAGCTGTTGCCGCTGTTTGGTGGAGATAAGAGTCTGTTTTTCCGACTGCGGTATTTCCATGCTGAACAGTTTCCTGACTATACTGCAACCTCCCCAGCATCAGCCAGACTACCTAAGCAGGCTTACTTCATTTCTCTCCTTATAGATGTATACTGTGTAATTGCCACTGTTAACTTACCACACAGCTCTTTATAGCAAGCACATTTATTCTTAAGGTGAAAGCATTATAGAAAACATTAAAAACAACAAAAGAACAACATGCATGCTAATATGCTTATCAGAGATCACCCCATCACTCCCAAAAGGGCTCTGGTTGGTGATTAGTTCTTCAAACCCCACATAGGGATCTCTCCTGTGGTCACAAAATCATCACAACTTCAGCTCAGAATCAGCACATTCGCTCTTTTGGGGCCTCAGTAAGCCAAAGCCATTCCAACAGTTTCCTAAGGAATAGGGCCCTCTGTGAGTGGGAGATCCTGCCTGTTTGCTGGATCAGGTAGAAGGCCTTGAGTCAGTTTAAACTGAGGCTATTTATCCCAAAATCCTTTGTCTATTCGTCCCTGGAGAATCCAGTTTCAACCAGTATATGCAAGCCTCTCTCTAGGTGGTGGCAGCCAATCATCATGGCAAATTCCAAAGGAACGTAGCCTCCTTTCACATTGAAAGCCAGCCAGGTTGGTCTCTAGCTCGGTCTTTAAGACAGTCTGACTGGATGTTCAGTCTGTCTGTCATTGGTGATCTTACTCTGCCACCAAAACTTTTGCTGACCCCCTGATTACTGACCATGTCGTGGCATTCCTTAGTAAATGCATTCTGTAATTTGTTGGTCTTCCATCCTAATAATATGTCCATACCAAGAAAGCCACTGAAATTGAACTAATGCTGATGGAGGAAGTTGCTGGGTTCAGCTAGCAATACCCTCATGCTGAGGTTATCCTGCCACTTAATATGGAGCAGCTGGTGAAGACAAGGAGAATCAAAAATGTCAGTCTGCTACTCTTCATCTTTCCTCACTGCCCACAATACAGTTGGTATAACCATGGTTCTGTAGAGCCACAGCTTTATAGTAATGTTGGTGGCCCAATGTCTCCCGTGATGCCACTGAAGGGCCTGACACGCAGCAGCAACCATGTAAGAGCACCCCCATCTTTTGAGCATCCTCCAGCACTGTCTGTTGCTTCCCAAGTACAGTATTTGACATTTACTAGCTGCTCGATATCATGTCTGCACAGGTTAATACTGCACTGGTGGTAATCTGGAGCTGGAGGCTACTTGATGGTAATAACCAGTGACTTAGTTGTATCTGGATTAATAACCAGACCAACGTGTGCTGCATATTGCCTGACCAGACTGGCCATCAGCTACAGCAATTCACCAAATTGAGCCAACACAAAATAAAAATGGAAAGAGAATGGTGAGGGGAAGAAGGTGCCCCTGACACGAGGGGACGGGAGGAGAGGCCACACAGACACTCTGCCATGGTGTGGAAGGTGGGAGCATAGAGAACCCCTGAAATAGAGGGAAAGTGGGCATGCAGTTCAGTGTTCATTGTTATCAATTCTACTCCATATCATCTGAATTAGGGATATGAGTTCCAGGTTGTAAGGTCTAGCTGACATTTAAGTTTTGCTGCTATGCTGGCAAAACCCTTCTAAGTGTAGATGCAGCTTATACCTCCAAAAAAAGTGCTTTTGTTTGTATAGTTTATGCTACTTTGGCGAGCAAGATAAAATATAGTGGCAAAAGCCCTTTTATGCCAGGGTAACTGCTTCTACTAGGGCTTTTGCTGGTTTAGAAATGTAAAACACACACACAAAAAAATCACACCCTTAACCAACATTGCTATACCGGCAACATTTTCTAGCATAGACCTGGCTTCATTCTAGGATGACCAGATGTCCCATTTTTATACGGACAGTCCCAATATTCAGTGCCTATTACTCCCCACCCCCTGTCTTGATTTTTTTACACTTGCTATCTGGTCACCATACTTCTTTCTGACTTTTAAGCCACTTCTGCCTTTTTATTAAAGGAAAAAAATTGCAGTGTTGGCATATAATTCTTTATGAAAAAACTCAGTTCCCAGTTAAGTAAAGTGCCCCAAGAAGAATGGCGCCAAAAGAAATCGCACAAAGAACATATTACAGGATCCCATAAGACTTCTCAACTTTTGGCTACTTCTGCTGAGTTGCTCCATACATGCTGGTTTCTGATAATTTCTGAAGTAACCCATATAAGAATCCACCATTGTAAACTGAAATTATTGAGTTCTGGAACACACAGCAGCATCACGTTGCCCCCTTTCAATGCCGGCTTCTGAAATAAAGAGACAGCATACAAGATAAGGGGCTTCGAACATGTAAAATGGGCCCTGGATTTCAAAGTTGGAGGTGGAAAACATCTAGGGTTTGGCCTCCTTGAGCTAATGCAGGTATTTAACAGTTTATAGACTGTAGTCATGTATTCATTTTTGTGCAACAAAAGTCATCTGGACTAATATGGTGCTTTGGCTATCTGCTGCTTTCCAAGTTCGCTTTACTTCCTTATTGGTAGAAGCATTAAGAGCTTTAATTCTTGTAAGCACTTACACATACTTTTAAATCAGCTGTTGCCAGGTTACAATCATAAAGAGAGAGTAAATGATCATCTGAAATGCTGTATGCTAAGGAATAAATAAATCCTTGTTCTGAAACCAGACAAGTTTTATAGGGTCAAAATCTGCTTTTATTTGTAAAAAATAAGAGTTACTCCACTAGGAGTGTCACAGATAAACTATCTGTTCAATCTTGTATTCAGTGGTGGTGCTTGTAGTACCTTTCCCAGAACTGAAGAAGAGCTCTGGATGGGTCAAAAGCTTGTCTCTCACACCAACAGATGTTGATCCAATAAAATATATTACCTCATTCACCTTCTCCCTTTAATATCCAGGGACCGATCCAGTGGTGGATCCTTATACAGCGACACTGCATGAGCAACAAAACGGCAGATGAAATTAAACAGGGATAAATGCAAGTAATGCATCTTGGAAAACAACTACACATATATAATGATGAGTTTGAAATTAGCTGTTACTACTCAAGAAAGAGATCTTGGGGTCTTTGAATAGTTTTCTGAAAACTTCAGCTCAATGCACAGCAGCAGTCAAAAACGCTAATGGTATGTTAGGAACTATTAGGAAAGGGATAGAAAATATCACAATGTCACTAATCCAGTCAGTTCAGTTCCCTGGGCTACATGGCCACAATTTCAAACCAGCCTTCTAAGATCCAGTTTAGCTGTGAGTGCCATAGTTTTGATAAGGGGTGGGTTATTGTGTTTTAATAGCTCTATAAAGAGTCCTACTGGCTTGATGCTAGGTTATTTTCAGGTGTTTACCATGGGCAGCCAGTGAGCTGGCTGCCTGGTAGAGGCTAGTCCCCGGCCCCTCCACTTCTGCCCTCCCTCCCCCTCAGTAGCCCAGTGCACTCCCACTGTGGTCTCTAGCCCCAGCGTTGGGTGGCCGGGCGGTGCAGCGGCAGCACGTCAGCCCCAGTGCACCGGGCGGGGTGGTCCGAGGGCCAGGTGGGCAGCGTGGCCCCAGCACCAGCTGCCCTGAGTCCCCTTGGCAGCAGGGCCGGCCCACGACATTTTGGCACCTGAGACGGGGAGCTCAAATGATGCCCCCATGCCCCCTCGCTTGGGCCAAAGCTGTCTTCTTCCTGTTCTACTCCTCTCATGGTACTGCTCTGCTACCTACCCCAATAGAGGAGAACTTAAAATGCCTTGTTCAAAAATTTTAAGTAACACTTAACTTTAAAATGCCTGAACAGCAAATGTAACTTTTCTTGCCTGCATAGTAAACACTGGCATTTTTATCTGTTTGAATGATCAAAGTGGTGCTTTCCATGCCTTCTTGGTTGCAAAGATTTGAACTGCTTCCTGAAGGTCCAGTCTGGGCCAGCTCATGGTCAATTGAGATGGCTGCAAGGCTGACCAGCCTCTCCTGTGTCATTTTGGAGCATAGATGTGTTTTTATTAACTTCAGCTTGGAGAAGCTGCGTTCTCCACTGGCAACTGTTATAGGAAGTGTTAGAAGTATGTGCAGAGCAACAAAAGCATTTGGAAAGAAGGTGGTCATCTTATTTGTGAACATATATTCCAGAACAGCCTTTGGAGTTGATCCTGCTGAAATGTATCTTGAAAGGGCTTTCAGTTCAGCACCTAAATCACTCGCATCAATATCATGCATGTCATCATGTGTCAACATTGTCTCTAGTGCCCTGCATTGCTGGTGTCGGTCTTCTTCAGGTATAGTGAGGAGTTTTGGAATATCATACAACATCCCAACTATACTGTTGTGTTCCTTGAGCTTCATGAAATGTTCTTCAACTGCCTGTATTGCACAATCTAGCACCTGGTTAAAGAATTCAACTTTGAATTGTTGTTTGGGGTCTCTTATGGGATTATCCCGTGTCTTGTAATCAAAATGTCTTCTTCAGTGGTTCTTGTATTCTTGAATGGGTGGGAAAATAGCTTCAGTGTGAAGTTCCTCTGCCAACTTCTGTGCGCTCTTCAGAACATTTTGAAATCCCTCATCTGACTGGTAAGACTGTAGATATGACTTTGCTTCGTCCAGTTGTTCCATTGCTCCAGATATATCAAGGTCAACACCTTGGAGTCTCTTGCTTACAACATTTATTTCAAACGGTATGTCATGCCACAGCACTAAGCCACACAGAAATTGAAGTTATGTATGGTTCTGGTGATTTCATTTCCCTCTGCCACTGTTCTCCCACAAACAGTTCCTGTCATAGCATTATCCTCCATAATGGCAACTATGGCATCATCTCTCTTCCCAATTTGGTGTTTGAGAGGCTTAATCGCCTCCACTCGACTTTCCCATTGTGTGGCACTCAGTGGTTTCAGGGTCAGAGAGGATGTTCCCAGATGTTGCTTCAAAATTTGCCATCAATGAGTTGATGCACAGAAAAATACATAGATGCTTTGAATTACATTAAAAAATTCAGCAGCCTCACTAGAAGCTGATGCTGCATCACTGACTGAGTTCAATGAATGAGAACTGCATGGGACAAAAAAAACTCGAGGGTTTAACTCCCAGATCTGTGTTTGCACTCCTCTGTTCTTTCCTCTCATGTTGGCACCATTATCGTAGCCCTGACCTCTCAGGTCGGCTATTGCAATTCCCGTATCTTCCAGCTTCTTAAGAAGCACATTTATCATACCAGCTCCTGTTGTATCATCAATGTCAATACATTCTAGAAAATGCTCTCTGACAGTCACCATTGCAGGGACATTTTCACAAGGTTCTGTTGTTGTTACAAAACGTACCATTAAAGTCATTTGTTCCCTATGGCTGATGTCAGGTGTGCAGTCCAGAATAACAGAGTAATATCTTGCTGACTTCAGATCTGCCACAATCTTCTGTTTAACTTTTGTTGCCAGTAACTGTATGATCTCATTTTGAATTATTTTTCCAAGGTAGTGATGTGTGTACGTTTCTTGGGTGGTGACTCTTCTGAGATGCTCCTGGAGTACAGCATCAAACTCAGCCATCAGCTCCACAATTTTAAGGAAGTTTCCACTGTTCAGCACATACAGCTGATCTGAAGTGCCACGCAGTGCTAGGTTTTGGTAGCAAGCATTCTCACAATGGCAATGAGCCTTTTCAGAACATTTTGCCAGTAAAGACTCTGATGCAGTCTTCTCTTGATGCTGATCATCTAGGGTGGCCTTTAACCTTAGTCTCATCTGAAGCACTTTCCACCTATGGAATGCTCTCTGGTGATTTGCTGCCTTCTCATGGCATGCCAGATTTCCAGCCATATTTTTCCAGTCCTTTATTCCTGTAGAACCCAATGTGGCTGGAACATTAGACTGGAAGAGTTTGCAACAAAAACAGTATGCAGCATTCTGGGTTTCTGAGTACATAAGCCATGGCTTCTCCACTTTGTCACCATTGGGCACTTCACACCAGTAATGTGTTGGATGGAAACTTCTATTTTCATTGTCTTTGGGGAACTTGACGTTTTTCACTTGTTGTGGCCGATGCAGTACAAGGAAGTCCCTCAGGCTTCTGCTCAAGTGGCTCCACAGTCCTAGATCATCTAGACTTAACGAACTAAACTCAGCAGCGGCTGTTTCTTGCACCTCCACCACACTCTTCTGTGATCTACGCTTTTCTTCAGGAATGTGTATGGTTACATCCATTTGAGATGGAGATATGGATGTTAAAGTAGCTGCCAGGTCACTGGCACTCTGACTAACTGGAAGATGAGGCATCTCCTCACCACTCATATCCTCACTGTGGCCGGAAGTCTCACCCGTGAACATTTGTGCCTATGTATCTCAGGAGAGCTCCTTTCTGCTTAGATAGAAAAGCTTCCTTTTGCTTTCTTTCTTTTTCTGAATGTTGCCACAGAGGGACGTTTTCTTCTTTCACTCATGACTGCTGTTCTGTGCCAGCTATAGTGGCTCTCAACACTCAATTGAAGGGACAAATAAGCAGGCTGGTAGCAGGGGGTGGAGCCACCCTCTTTCTCTGTGTCTTGGGTGGACCAGTCCACCTTACTACAAGGGGTTAAAAGCCTTTGTTATGCTGCAAGATGTTAATGGCTGCCATCAAGCAGATCTTTGATCTGTAGACCATCAGAGACCTTGTTAAAGTTGATGGATGTACTAAGTACTTTTCTTTCAAGCTAAATGGAAGGAGGAATTAAATACCCCTTAATGTAGTGATAGATAGCCACTGCCTAAGGCAATGAGCCACATGGTAAGGCTGAATAGAAGTTAAACTATGTGGACTGAGGGGTTTCCCTGGGACTGATTATGAAACACGGTGGTTTGACAATTGATTGGTTGTAGCTGTGTGTATGAGAGGCAGAACGCAGAAGAAACAAGCGTGAGCAGGGCTCCTGGGGAGGAAGCCAAGAGACAGGGCTTCTTTTGGGCTAAAAGGGTACACTTGGATTTCCGAGTGAAAACTACCTGCTGTTAGGTCCTACTGTGTTCAGGAAAACAGGACTTTGTGTACATTGTATGTAAATAAACAGGATTGCTCTGAAGAAATACCTGACTTCTCTCACCAATTTCTCCTCCTAAGAGAAACAATCCAGCAAAGGCCCAAGCATTAGCGAGCAAAGGGGTAACAGCCATAACAGTAGTGACTAATGGAGGATGATTTTCCTTTGGCTCAAATGATAGAGGTCTGTGTTCCTAAAAAAGGAGGCTCTAGCTTCTATAGCTCCCCTGCACCTCCACATCTGTATGGGCAGTTTAATTGGCAACCTTGATTTCGGTATACACGTGGCCATGAATTAATTTCAGTTATTCTCTATATAATCAAAGTTGACTTGCGAACTTTCTGGATGAAAGATGCTGCAGCACTGTAAATTATAACATGGAAGCAAATGAGATTAAAATTGGCTGGAACTCTCCAAGGGTCAGTTTTTCAGGTTCTACAACCTGGACTTTAAAGGATCTGTTCACATACATTGGCAACAGGCTGACACCTGACCGTTTTGCTTGGGATTATCAACTCTATAGCTTTAATTTCTAAGGGGAGCTCCCCTGCCTTCCCTCTTGCTGCTTCTCAAGGCCCCAGCCAAACTCCTAACTTAACCTTTGCTGTCTAATCATTTTATATGTGATTTCAGGAAGTGTTGGATGGCTGCTTCGGGTGTCTTCAGAGGTGACTTCCAGGTAGGGACACACTGTTCTACCGCAAATCCATCAGGGTCTTTCTGATGGCAGGAAACACCTGCCCCCAGCCATAAAGGAAAGGGTAGTAGGAAAACACTTCCATTCCAGCAGCTTCTATAAAAGCAGCAGTCAGATAGTGCATCGCATTGTATGTGGCTACAGAACCAACTATTTTAAAAACGTTGACAGTATTGGACTCTGAAACTTAAATACAGTGCTTAATTTGTAATGAAAGAGATGCTGGGGCTCAGGCAATCTTTTTTTTACCTTTTAACGGATGTAGCAAGGCAGAGGTGCCAGGGCTGTGAACTGCCACGCCTGGAAGTGCTGGGGCTCAGCCCTGGCACAAATTAAGCCCTGCTTAACTACGGGCTGTATTGATATCACAAACACCTCAACTAAGGGAGAGATCGTTCAAGCCATCAAATCCTTAAAAAATGGGAAAGCTCCTGGCAAGGATAACTTGAGTGCAGAAATGTTCAAGGTAAATCCGGATTTAGCAGCATCTGTCCTGGCCCATCTATTTACATCAGTCTGGGAAAGAGAAAAAGTGCCCGAAGAGTGGACCAATAGGGTTATAGTGAAGATACCAAAGAAAGGAACTCTTGGTGATTGAAATAACTGGTGTGGTATCGCACTTTTATCTGTGCCAAGCAAAGTATTGTATAAGATCATAGTCCAGCGTCTATCAGAGGCAGTTGATAGTGTTCTCAGAAAAGAGCGAGCAGGTTTTCAGAAAGGGCATGGATGAACAGACCAGATCTTCACTCTGTTAGGTAAGAAAAACTAAATAGGAGGCAGTTATGCCAACTGAACCTAAGTCAGGCTAAGAGAGGCTGCTGAAAAAGTCTCTGAAAGTAGAATGAAGGAATATTTGTTTAAGTTACAGAGAGTGGGAAAAAAAGGGGAGGCCTGCATTCTGCATTTTTGTATCAGATGTGCTGGGAACAGTCCTTGAAATATAGAGGCGCTGTTTTCTACTCCCTACTCTCTGCTCTTGTGTTATGTCTGTTTTAACTCCTCGTCTCCTGGTTGACACCCATACCGATAAGAAAGTTAGTAAAGCACTACAATTTGCTAAAAGTTATCTACAATAAGGGGGGTAGATGTGCATGCATGTAGAGAAAGAGGATTTTAACTAATATAGAGGAGGGGTGGGCTGCTTTATAAATAAATCTGTGACGCGACGGGACTGTCTATAAAAACCTATGAGTTTTACTTAGAGGCTGGCTGGTTCTCTTTGGAGATGGGCTGCTCTCTATTGTTGTGTGCACTCTTCAATAAAGAGCTTTGAGTTCGGACCTTGCTGGTGTTGCTTGTCTCTCTCCGGTCAGACAACGAACCATGCCCGTCTGGGGTTCGAGACCTCGACAACTCTATGAAACATAATAGAACAATGCTTAGAATGGCAAGAGCAGCTCTACATAAATTCATAGACTTTGAGAAGGCTTTTTTGATAGCATTCACAGGGCCAGCCTATGGTGCATTCTGGAATGGAATTCCCTCTCCATATAATCATCATCGAAAGCTTTTATTCCTACTTTACGTGTAGTGTTGATCACAGTGAGCTCAGGTTTGAAGTCAAAAGAGGAGTACATCAGGGGTGTGTCATGTCTGCAATCCTCTTCAACACTACCATCAGCTGGGTAATGTGGCGTACAAGATCATAAGACATGCCAAGAGGCATTAAATGAACACCTTTCTCATCCCTTGAAGACCTGGATTTTGCAGATGATGTCTCTCTCCTGTCACATTCGCAACACCATATACAAGGAAAAACAACTTAACTCAATGCATTCAGCCAGCAAATTGGACTGAAAATCAATTGAAATAAGACAAATGATATGACCTTTAATATTGCCTCACCATCACGGATAGAGGATTATGTTCTCACGAATGTAGAAACATTCACATACTTGGGCAGCACCATCAGCCAGGATGGTGGAAGAAACCAGGACATACAGAACAAAAATAAAGCCAGTAACACCTTCAGGAGCTTAAGTACAGTCTAGAAATCATCAAAAATACAACTCCAAAACCAAACTCAAGATTTATCAGAGCTATGTACTTTCAACATTACTTTACAGTGCAGAATACTGGGAAATGAGAAAGTATGACATGTCCAAACTGTCTTCATCCATACAGCCTGCCTCAGAAAAATCCTCCGTATCTTTTGAACAATCTCAAACCAAGATCTAGTGACACAATGCAGCCAAGAGAATATGAGCACCATCGTTGCCAGGAGGCATTGGAGATGGATTGGCCATGTGCTTCAGATGGAAACTGATTCCATCACCAGAGTAGCAATAAGATGAACACCTGAAGGCAAGCGAAAATGAGGCTGCCCGAAAACAACATTGTGAAGAGCTGTGGAAACCGAGCTGAAAAACCTGGGGCACAGATTGGGACCACTCAAAGACTTGCCAGAAACAGACAGGAGTGGAGGAGCTTTGTCGCTGCCCTAAATGTCAGAAGTGTAATGGGAACATGATGATGATGATGATGAATAGGGGCAGAATTGAGCTGTTAGTTTAAATCTCACTGTTCTCTGAAGTACAAAGACAACCTGTTAATTGCATAACTTTGCTGCATACAATAATTATTCTTATCACATTTGTTTAAAATCAGTTTTTCTTTAATGGATCCTCACAACAGATTAAAGACTGGTAATTTTCTTTTATGTGATATTATCAGTTTTCATTTTTGTTAAATCAAGTTTCTAGCCCTCAAAGTTGCAGAGAAAATCTTGAAAAGTTAAGCGCCGAAGGCCCAGAAACCAGAAGACAATTTTTTTCCCGTTTAAATTGTGATTTTTAAGCCCCTTATGATTTTGGGGGCCTGTCTCCTGATTTTTGAACGCTTGGGATTAGCAGTGGAGTTCTCTGTACATTTCCTATTTAGGTCCATGATTGGAAAGCTGATCGCTGTGGGCACACCCCTGCATTAGCCTGGAGCCCTGTTAAAGTCAATGGGGCTTCGCAATGGTGCAAGAGTTCACACACTTGCAATGTTGCAGAATCAGGACTTTAAACTCTTGATAACAGACCTGTACTATGTCTAGAAAGGCCCCTCCACATCTAGAGGTATATAAAAAACATTATAATAATTGTTGATTGATACAGTACAATAGGATAAGCATTTTACAGGCCGTAAACTGTTTTTTTTCTCCTCTATGTTATCAGTTAGAAATGAAACTACTGTGAATCAAAGAAGGCATGAAGGTTCAGAAAATACTCATCTTTCTGTTTCATTTGTATGCTGTAGTTTCAGGTAAGTTTGAGCTGTGTGTTCATGGACATGATAAAGAAATTAAAGTTTTTTTTTTTTTCCAAGAGGTGAATTACTTAAAAGAGGCATTGTCAAGATAATCACGGTAAGGAATCAACTTAAGGCACTCAATTGATATAAGGCACTCAAAGCAAAATAAGGATGTCCTTGTAAATGGATTGCATTGCAGCAAAGGAAAAACAAACTCAGCAGTGCTCTTTTTTCCTTTGATATATGAAGGTAGCTTGAAGCACAAGAAAGCACCAGACTAAGAACAACAGGGTTTCTTGGGTAGGTAGGTCTTTGTATGCTGGAACTTTCTGTTCTAAAGCATCAGCCCCTCCCACTTGAGAATCTTCATTATCTGTAGCAGGTCTGTTCTCCTCTGTACGCTGTAGCCCTTGGAGTACAACATGATGATGATATACTCTTGAGCAGGCATGATGTTCCATTCAATAGCCGTGGTTAACATACAGTCACCCTAGTTAAAGGCAACGTTGGTCGTAATTCCAAATATATCAGTGAGGCACCAATTTGTAACAATTCTCTGGTTATACTGACAGTATCAATTATTAGCTATTCGACCCAGTGTTGCTCCCCAGGTCTTCAGGGTAACAGCAAAGAGAGCACAAGGAACTTTAGCTCCAAATCAACAGGCTCCCTACCATGTGAGATAAAAGAACCTCAAGTAATGCTATGTTTAGTCTATAAATGATAGAACAATATAAAGGGCTATGGTTAATTAGCTAATGTTGGTACAGCGTACTGGAGCTGTAAAGCTCTATAGTAACTCCTTGCTTAACATTGTAGTTATGTTCCTGAAAAATGCTACTTTCAGTGAAACGATGTTAAGCAAATCCAGTTTCCCCATAAGAATTAATATAAGTAGAGGGAGTTAGGTTCCAGGGAAATTTCTCACACACACACACACCCCACTCTATAAATTTTAAACAAACAATTTAATACTGTACACAGCAGTGATGATTGTGAAGCTTGGTTGAAGTGGTGGAGTCAGGGGATTGATCTAAGTTACACCACTTCAGCTAACTGAATAAGTTGATGTACTTAGATCTACTTACTGCGGTGTTATCACCGTTGAATCAGTGGGTAATGTAGACAAGCCCTCAGACAGTGGGATATTTCCCAGGGAATGCTTTGCTGCTAAATGATGAACTAGCATTCGGCTGAGCCCTCAACGATTAACACACTGTTGTTAACATAGCCTCACACTCTACAAGGCAGCACGAGTGGAGGGAGGAGACACAATAGATGCATGACAGTGGCTGCAAACATTCCCTGCAGAAACTGAATGTGAAGATGAACCCACGCTATCCCACTCAAGCGCACCACTCCCTCCACTTTCCAAAGTGTGGAGGGGTGCATGTGTGTGTGCATGTGAGAGATAGAGAGAGAGACACACACACACACACACACAGTGTGTGTGTGTGTGAGAGAGACGGAGACACAAATTGGTGTGTGTGTGTGTGAGAGAGAGAAAGATGCACTGCCCCTTTAAGTATGCTGACCCTACTCTAAATACATTGCCCTTTTAAATAGATCAGCAAGTTGAGACAGCAGCTGCTGCCAGGAAGTTCCCTCAGTCCTGAGCCTTGTTGTGTCCCGCCCGCTCTGTGGAGTTGGGGTACAGAAGCGGGGAGAGGGGGACACCCTGACATCAGAACCCCTCTTCCCCCCCCCACCCCATGCACAGCAAGCAGGAGGTTCCCAGGAGCAGCACGGGGCAGTGTGGGAGGGACAGCTGAACTGCCCGGCAATTGATAGCCTGCTGGGCGGCTGCTGCACAGGGAACTTAGGGGAGCGGATGGGAGGCTGCTGGTCCACCCTGGTTCCAAGCCCCCACCCACTAGCTCCAACCGGCTGCTCTTCCTGCAAGCAGTGGACAAAGCAGGCAGCTGCCAAACAACGTTATTAGGGAGCATTGCACAACTTTAAATGAGCTTGTTCTCTAATAGATCAGGAACTAAACAACGTTAACAGGGACGACGTTAAGTGAGGAGTTCCTCTATATATATCCCAATTATTTGGGCACTGGAAGACTGCAGTCTAGAATGTTAGTGATGCAGAGTTGAGTATGTCTGAACATGAGTGTCATGTATTAGAATACTGGTGTACTGGAGTAAGGATTATGTGACTCTCATCCCACCCTCTCTGCTCAGGGAGGTATGAGGGTGACATGAAATTATAACAATGGGCATATGTTTAAACAAATGGTGGGAGATGTGCACCTGTTAGGGCCGGAAGATCAATTCAGCTGGACTGCAGTTGTGATCTTATTTGAGGGTGGAGGTGGGGGGAGGAACCTAATGGACTTACCTAATTTATTTTTAGTAACCCATTCAGAAATGTTCATGCATTTATAATATGTGCATTGTGTTTTCAAGGTCTTGAAGAGGTAACAGGGCGATTTTTCGAAGATTGTATCCTTCCTTGCTCTTTTGCACGTGCTGAAGGTGAAGTAATTTACTGGAAGAAAGGGAACAAAAATGTGCACAGCTACTACTATGGGAAGGATCAGCTAGAACGTCAAGACTCTGAATACAAGGGGAGAACATCCCTTTTTCATGAGCAAATTCCCAATGGAAATGCCTCCTTAAAACTGAGTAAACTGAGCCTGAGTGATGACGGCTCCTACAGCTGCTATGTGGGGACAAATCAAGATAAAACAGATGTGAAAGTCAGGCTGCACGTAACAGGTCAGAAGGATATTTAAAATACCTGAACTGCACAGGTAGCAGATCTTATTCTCTTCCCTGTCAGCTGAAATTGAAATACCTCAGACCAGTAGTAGCACCAATATCTTTCCAGTCTATCAGCGCTAAAAGGCAACTCTATACTTCACTGTTGCATTTCAGCTGTAAATAGGGTGACCAGACAGCAAGTGTGAAAAATCGGGACAGCGGGTGGGGGGGAGGTGTAATAGGAGCCTATATAAGTAAAAGACCCAAAAATCGGGTCTGTCCCTGTAAAATTGGGACATCTGGTCACCCTAGCTGTAAAAGAAATAACCTGGTTCCAGCAGAGGATGAAAAGCTACAGTGCAGTGATTTCAGGTTAAAAATCACTGCAGGTCTGTGGAATGCAAGTGGGTAGTGGGTGAACTTAAATAGTAAGTGGGAAGGGTAGATTCTGACAGAAGTTTGGAAACTGATCCCTGATAATGGGGCAAATGCAACACTGTAGTCTGAAATAAACACAAATAATTGGATGTGACTTCTTCTGTGTTCCACAGATTTTCTCCTGTATTATTCCAGAAGACAAATCACGCCAAGTTAAGCAGAATGTTGAAAGTACCAGACTTTTTTTTTTCTTTGTCTTTACAGTTTCCCCATCTTATGCAATGGAATATGAAAAACGAGACACAGAGAGACTGTTGAAATGTCTTGCCTTTCATATTTATCCCGAGCCAAACATAACGTGGTCAAATGATAATACATCTGTGCAAAACACACAAATGGAAGTAACCCAAGATGGCCCTCTCTATTCAGTTAGAAGTGAGAAGAACATTGCAAACAAAGTTTCTTCTTACCAGTGTCATGTTCAATTTCACAACCAAAACTGGACTGCTGAATGGAAAGTGGAAGGTAGGATTGAACTATGCTCCATCCCTTAAACATGTATAAAGTCCAGGACAGCTGAGCCATAATGAGTGCATGCATCTACATTGTGCTGAATTGGTAGAGAGACAATAGATAAGGTTACATAACCTTCCGTAGAACTCAGTTGATTATAAAACTAGCTAGGCTGAGATGAGTGAAAACCCCTCAACATTCACCCCCAAATTTCAGAACTGTGAAGTGCATTTATTTTGTGTGTGGTAGCTTCATACTTAGGTTTTGACCATGTGGGTTTTGCACCTCCCAAGTTGCACAACAATGAATTTAGAACTATTTCAAACTCACGGAGGTTTCCTCAATAGGTTTGTGAACCTTATGACCCTGGCTGGAGTTTTTAAACACAACCATAATGTGGTTTGGAGTGTCATTGCAAACCTATCGCACAGCACCACCCAATAGTAAGACTTGCCTATAGCCAACTCTAGATGGCTGTGGCTCGGCTTGTGCCCATTTAATACACTGGGGCAGCTAACTTTGTTTGGTACACATATTAATTTTATATTACAGTAGCACTCATATAGCACCCAATAGCCTCAGTCTGGATTTGGGATCCATTGTACATATTACTGTAAAGATCACTTAGTAAGAGATGCTCCCGGCTGCGAAGATCTTAAAATATAAATATTGTTCATATGTTATGCCTAGACAGACAATGTAAGATTATGTCCTTTTGTCTTTTTTTTTTTTTAAATTGTCCCAATCCATCCCCCACCTCTTTCTCTCCCGTTGTCCAGGTGACCCAGCCAGACATTACCTGTGGCTGACCTAAAGCATTCTCCTTTCACCCTGCCTGCGCTGCACCAGTAGCAGCACGCAGATGGGAGAGGGGAGGAAACTGTTCCTCCTCTAGTGTTCTAGACCAATCTGTCCCTAGCTCAGTCCATTCCCTGTTGTTTCCTTGAGTCTATTCACTACCATTTGTCTTCCCTGTCTCCTTTCCGCCCCAACCCCTTCCCCAGATCACATCTCCTTACCTCTACCCAAACCCAAGGGGCCTAGGGGAAGGGGAGCGGAGCAGCAGCCAAACAGACTGTCCAGATTCAAATAACAAAATACACTTGGGCAGAAAATAGATGGTATCACTGCATAAGGAAAACAGGGCCACTGAAATTTAGCTCTCCCCTATGGTCTATTTACTCCTGCTGCTTCAGGCTTTTTTTTGCATTTGCTAGAAATCCATTTCAGCAAATAGCCATTGCTTTCCTGAGACTCTTTATCTCTTCAGAAATATTTCTTAATTGAAGCAACAGCAATGAAAGAGCAAAGTTTCCTGTCAGATCTGCGTGATTGACCTTGACTCCACTACTCTGTGCTCCCTACAGCCCATGCACAGGGCTCATAGTTCTCAATCCACTGTGCACTCCGCAGAGCAGCATTTTGTTCTGAATGTGTGTACAGTAGCATATTAACGTAGCTCATTAATGGAATCCCACATCTCCCCATCATTAAAGGTCACCTGGTGCTGAGTGTTATAAATGCCTCACACTGGCTAGAACTATATTTCTGGCTGCTTACCTGAACCTTTTGAGATCATGCAGCCTTCTGCTAGCCAGACGAGAGGCAATGTGGGGTGCAGTTCCCTCCCCCCCCTCCATTGGCCCTCAGAATCACTCTCCGTATCCCCTCACTTCAGCCACATTTACACTATGAGCTGGAGATGCAAGACCCAGCTTGTGAAGACATACTTGTACTAGCTCTCACCTGAGCCTAGCGCACTAAAAAGAGTAGTGTAGCTGTAGTCGCACGGGCAGCGATGACATGGGCTAGCTGCCCCAAGTCTGTACTCAGGGATCAGGTGGGTTTGTACTCAGGTCAACTAGCCTGTGTCACTTCCACCCGTGCTATCATGGTTACGCTACTGTTTTTAGCATGCTAGTGTGAATGTGTGTACACGAGCTGGGAATCATGCCCCTTGCTCATCGTGTAGACCTAGCCCCACACACCAGGCATACTAATGTAGTGTAGAAATGTTATGGCTTCCTGCCCCTAATACAAGTTGCCAGACATCCCTCTCCATTCATTTGTGCCTATTGAGGTGAGTCACTATTCTCAGTCATAAACTCTACACCTAGCACTGGTTGCAATATTTCATCCCAAGGCACTGTGAATTTGTGTGAGTGTGTGAGAATTTCTGTCCTATTTAACACCTTCCTTTGACCACTACTAATCTGTAAGTGTCCTTTAGGAAGCCTTTTTTCTCCCTTAAATAAAAGAGGGGAAAAAAAACAGTAACACTCTCTGAATGTTAATATTTTCCCTCTTCTAATCCTTATAGTTGAGGACTCTGTTCCACCACTGTTGTTTACTTTAGGAGCTGTGTGGTAGTACTAGATTTTATTTTAGGCAATTAACTAAGATGAAATGTTAGGCACCGAACAATTGTGGTGTCCAGATATTTTCCTCCCTTAAAGGTAAAAAAAGAAAATGATATCTAAATGTAATTTCATATTTTAAACTAGTACATTAATGATGAAATTTATTTCGAACCTGTGTTCTAAAAACCTTAGATCTTTAACCAAAAATAAATGGAGTCTAATTTTGCACCTTTTATGCTCTTTACTTTTTGGACTTCATGCAGCTTAGGTAGTAAAAATAAACTAGGTGGTGCCTTTTGTTTGCCTAAGAGTCAGAAAGCAAAGCTAACACAAGGTTACAGAGTTAGTAGAGATGACTCAGTAGGAAAATGTTCACATCAATGCAAAGAGGGTTTTTTCTTTGGCATAAACAAAAACTCATTTAATATAAAGCAATTGCCACCTCTCCGCACCTTCACCCCTTTTTGTTTGTTTGCTTAAACCAACTACTAAGGCTGAACTACAGTGTCTGAAATGGCTCTTTCAAGAAGTGGTTTCTGCAGTCGGATGTCTTGCGAAGCTTATAGTGAAGTATCAGTACAATTATATCAAAAGATTGCTTCAAAAGTAGTGCACAAAAAGTCTGAGCATCCTTCACACTAGCTTGTTCAAACCATTGCTTTCCCATTAATTGTTGCTTTTTAAATTGTATATTTCAGATCAGATTTTTAAAAAGGAAGGAGATACCGTTTCAATCCCATGTGAATTTATGGCTCAAGGATCTCCATATACTAAAGACTTCATAGTTACTTGGACAATAATCAGAAATGCATCTACCTTGGTTCTGGCATCCTCTGCTAACTCATCACAACCCCCTGAACAGTTTAAAACTCGATTCTCTTGGGAGAAAATCAATGAACAGGACTACTCAGTAATCATAAGGGATCTTACTCTGGCAGACAGTGGAGAATACATGTGCAATATTTCAACACCACACTATACACAACTCACTGTAAGAATTTTGCAAGTTGGTAAGTTGCTGCAATTTCTACACTGCAGGCTGGGGAGAAAAAGGTCAATTCAAATCTGCAAAATGTCAGGAACAATGACTTCAAGTCCTCTGAGAGAAAAGTTGAAATTAATTTAACCATAAATTCCTTTATTAAACCCAAAGACGTAATGCTATTTATACAACTGCTCTAAACATGCCTAAAAAGCTGTTTACTACATCCAAACAGTAACAAAACATTTATAGGCATTTGATCAAGAGAATTACAAATTGGCTAATCCCAAGGTTGTTTAAACCCATATTGGTTGGCTCCAACTTGGTCAGACAGATACTAACAATGAACCCTTTAACTCTTTTATACCCTTTAACAAACAAGTGATGTCATTATCAATTGTCAGATCTTAGCTAAGGGCAGATGGAGTTTTGTATACTGTATAGCCAATTCTTTACTGCATCTGGTACCCTATTAATTATATTTTATTTCTATTATTTTAGGCCAAACCTTAAATAAGATAACACTGGTATTTTGAAGGGTTGCTACAAGTGTAACACAATTACTCTTCCTTATTATGGTTTCATTCTTTTTGGTTCCATGCTTTGGACCAATTGTTCATGCTAATATCCCAACTCATTTTAAAATCATAGTTCACCCAAATCTAGTGTGGGCCTATATTCATACAGAGGTAGGTAGAATATTGTGGTATTTTATTAGAGAAATATTGATCTGGACGAGAAAAAAAGCAAGTTTAGACTTTTCTGAATATTGAGATTTATTTACTTGAGAGATTTGGACTTTTTTTCTTATATCTAAAGCTGATTCTGTACACAACCTTGTGAGGTGCTGAGTGTCGTCAGTTCCCGCTGACTTCAGCTGGAACTGAGTGTTCAGCAATTCGCAGGTTCAGGCCCTAAATACTGTCTGTTGTTGAAGACATCTCGGCACCAACTGCTTTCAGACATATGGTAAACTCACAAACCGCACTGGTGGAAAAAAGATTCTCTACAGTGCCAGCAGATAAAGAAAATTAATTGGAGATCAACACAGTTACGTTGTATTTTTTTTTTAGTGTTATGCCAAATAGAAGACTTTTATTTAGACTTACAAAAGTGAATTTTTATATGCATGGCTAAACTTTGAGAACTGTAGTGGATATTTAGCTGTGAGACTTCTTGGCTATATTTATCATTGTAGTCCCTCCATTTTCCTGGGGACTCAATGAATAGCTTATCCATCTCTTTCTAATTCTCTTTCAGTGAAGATCAAATATACTCACCAACTAATTCAGTAATCAGACTGACAGAGCCAACCGCACAGGGTCAGTTCTTACAAATGGTAATTGCAAGATTAAAGGAGGCAGTTGTCTGTTTTGCTCTAAACCCCAATTGTAGGATCTTGCTCCTGGCAACTACACTGGCTGAACGTCTCAGGGCATGGCTACACTTGCAGTTGTAGAGCACTGGGAGTTAAACCAGATTTCGGAGACTGCAGCAGGGAAAACGCTGCCCGGTGTTTACACTCTCAGCTGGAAGTGCACTGGCATGGCCACATTAGCAGCTCTTGCAACACCACAAAGAGCAGTGCATTGTGATAGCTATCCCAGCATGCAAGTGGCTGCAACATGCTTTTCAAATGCAGGGGGTGGGGTGGAATGGAGTGTGACAGGGAGTGTGTTGTGTGTATGTGGGGGGAGAGAGAGTGGGGTTTGGGGGGGGGGCTGAGAGCATGTCACCGTGCTGTCTTGTAAGTTCAGACAGCAGCAGCTCCCACTGTCCCCCGCCTCTCTCTCATACTCACAGCAGCAACATTCCTCAGTAATGGCTGCTTTGTCCCGGAGCAGATAAGCATGCCCGCTGTCGGAAACGGAGCTTTCAAAGGGCATATCCACATTCCTACAGCCAAGTTCAAAACAATGACAAGAGTGGCCACTTAATTTAAGGAGATTATGGGATGTTTCCGGAGGCCGATCGCAGAGCAGTAATGCAACACCCGGGCGTTTCAGCCGAGGCGCAGCAAGCTTTATGCTTCTCGTGGAGGTGGATGACCAGGAGCACTCCAGTTGCAGAGTCCAGGCGCTCTAAGTGCCTTGTCAGTGTCGATGGGTCGGGAGTTAGGGCACCCGGGGTTGCTTTAATGCGCTCTAACTCGCAAGTGTAGCCAAGCCCTTAGATTGAGAATCAAACTTGTTTGCCTCTTGGCACTCAAAGAAATATTTAGCCTCCTCCCAACATTCCTATGTGGTTAGTGACTTACTGTTGGCTTTTCCCTAGTCTGTTTACCCCACTTGGATAACATAGCAGCTCTTACTTCCATTTTATAGAGCAGTGGGGTTTTGCTGTCCTCTTTGACTACCTGGCATCAGGGCCACCCAGAAGAGGGGGCAAAATGGGCAGAGAGTGCCCTCACTGAGTGGCACTGCAACCCCAGGTGCCAGATCACAATGCTACTTGATGAAATTTGACTCTGTGGTTCCTCTGTCACAATTATAAACCAGGAAAAAAAGGTTGCTTAAGGAAAAACAAAGATTCACTATTTGCTTGTGTGGTCTTCAGAGTCAAGAATGCAGCTTGTGGTCTCTGGTTAGTACCTCTCACCATCATGGTCTTCTGGGCAACTTGGCTGGTCAGGCTTGTGTAGCCTGTGGTTGTCTTTGTCCCCTCTTTCTGTAGGACCAGCTTTTGAAAGCAGGGATATTAGCCTTTGTTGGTGTTGTGGTGGTCCAAGAACACACATTCTTCCACCCGTAACCTTCAAGATTGCAGTTCTAGCTTACTGCACCCTATGGCACTTCCCTAGAGGTTTTCCGAGCAACTCAGGGCACCGTTGCATGTCTTGGACCCTCATGATGTGGTCCAATCTTGAGCAAGCTTGATCCTTGGTCAGTTTGGACAGCCTCCCTTTAACTGGCAGTTTTTACAATAACCCATCATTAGGCCACAAGCATGTGTACTACAAACATATACAGAAAGTGAGGTAAGCAGGAGATGATTCTAAAGAAGCGATCTCACCCTGAAGGAGGAGAGGAGGGGCTACAGTTGGAGGATGCAGATGGCCCCAAGTTCCTTAAAAGGCCGTAACACGTTCATGAATATAGCTAATGGCCCAACAAACATCTCCTTCTCCTTTCAGGCAGGCAGCTGGGAGACCGACAATTCTGTTTTGGGGCTCCTGAAACAATTTCTTTTCTTTAAAACCCTTCCTGCAAAATCAATCAATCATGGTTTGAGGTTTCATCCTGATCTGAGACTGTTCTTCTTACAGAAATGCAAAATGTGTCATGGGAAGGGATTTCCATTTCCCAGCCATCTGTACTACCAGGTATAACATTTACTGCTGAGAGGTCCCGTTGCAAAGCAGTGGGGCTACTCATGCTAGTGAGCACTATATCTGAAGACAGTGTTTACAGGATGGGGCCAGTTGATCTTGTTTTTAATTAGACTGTTGTGGAAGTAACCAAGCCTTACCCCGCCGCCCCATAAAGCCACACATACAGGTCTGCCTTGAGACTGTGGCAGTAAGCAAAGGAGCATTTTCAGCGATTTGGGTTTCAAATGTACTTACCGTTTGAAAACTTATATTCTCTTAAAATTGCAGGATCTTAAAGCTTTTATTTAAAATTAAATTTCAATTTGGCGTTAAGATTACAATCATGTTAATTGAAAGAAAAGATTAGTTCCCAGCTCAGTTAGAAGTTTATGAATTATAAACGGGAAAGAAGTAATAGACTGATGCCCATTGTGGACTGTTGTGAGTATTAAGTCAAGCTTGCACTGCTGTGTATTTCACTTAGAAGGAGCACATAGGCTTTAAACCTTCTGAGACACTTGAGAAATGTTAACATCTTCTGTTTGTTTGAAATTAATATGAACTATGTATTTTTAGAAAAATCCTCACATTACTACTGGATAGCTATAGTGCTGCTGATCCTTATCATTGCCTTTGTATGCTGGGCTGTGAAGGTATGTATTGCTTTAATAGCTGTTTTTGTAAAATCCCCAAGAACAAGATGTGTGTAAAAATATAATTACTACTACTAAGGTCAGAATTTGGATGCTTGACAAGCATATTTAATTTGGTTTAGTTAAGAAGCTGGCGAAAGACTGAAAATATAAAATCATAGGTTGTAACTAATATTCCCTGTTTCTGCTACTCCTTGTGGTTTATAGGCGGCCCCAGTGCCCCTATAGATTGCAAGCAGTGTCTGTGTTGCTCTGTCTTTTAGATGGTGGTGTTGTTGTCGTTGGTGGCTGAGTGATCCGGGGTAGGTCCCTTTTGCTCCACATATACCTAAGGTGTTTTTCTTTTCAAGAGCACACTGCAGCAAGCAGATCTAAAAAACAATCCCCACGTAGTCTCTACATTGAAAGAGAAGCTGCATGCAAGTATATCTAGCCTTAAACCTGGCAAAAACTAATCTAGATCCATCCAAGCTCTGTTACTGAAATGAAAAACCAATTGCTTGCATGCACCTCTACAGAGCTTCTCTTCCCCCGAACTCTTTCAAACCTTTCCTCACCCACAGATCCAAAGCTTTTAGGGATCCATAGGGATTGGGTTTGGTTTGCTGCAGATCCCAAGCCATCTAAGGTTATAGGCCCCTTCTCAGGGTATGTCCGTGCTACAGTGGTATAGCTATAGGTAGCTATTGGTACAGCTGCTGTAGTGTAGACATTTCCTACATAGATGGAAGGAGGTTCTTTGTCATTGCAGGTAATCCATCTCCCTGAGAGGTGGTAGCTATGTTGATGGAAGAATTCTTCCACCATCCTAGCTGCATCTACAGAAGGGGTTAAGTCAACCTAACTAAGTCACAGGATGCAAAATTTTTCACAGTGCTAAGTGATGTAGGTCGACTTAAGTTATAGGTGTAGACCCCGGGCCTCACTGTTTGTATTGCTTTATTCCTTTCCATGTGTTTAGTGCAATAAAGGAACCTGCAGGCTTCAATCCCTAACTCTCACCTAAACCAAATTCCCTTTAATATGGAATTCTGCTGGCCTATCAGGGAAAGATAGCTTCTTATTACCTTAATTCCTTTTGTAAACCTTGTCTAACACAATCACTCTGCATTTCCTCCATGACAATAACTGTGGTGTATTGAGGACTGCATTAGAATGGTAAGCAATCACTTCAGGAGCCTGCTTGCAGGCTAGGGAAGGTCTGTAACAAAGTATGTGATGGGAATCAGTTTGAAAAGAGCCAGTTTAAAGCAAGAAGGGGTGATTTGTGCCTCCCTGTCTTAGAGTGCAGCCTGTTTTTTCCCTCTCTGGTTTCGGTTCTTGTGTATTATTTTGAATTCTGTGAAATAGAGCAGTGTTATGTTGCAACCTTCCAGCAAGATTATTTATGTTTTTATCTAATTTCTCTGTGTATCCTGTAACATAGCGGAGAAGAACGGTGTGCAGAAGATCGGGGGGGAGCCTATAAGAGAGCAAAGATTAAATGGCTGCATATGGACAGTTTACAGTGTAATGAAGGAGAAGATTTTGCAACATATGCTCAGAGTCTTGAGCAGTATTTTTATGCACATGCTATTTCTTAACATTGTTTGTGTAAAACCACTTTTGTAACGCTTAAAAGTTTTCCTCAAGAACCTGATGAACTGGAATATAAGGACATAAAAGAGATTCTAAGAAGCATTTTGAGCCTCTCAATGTTTTTAATAAAAGGATATGTTTCACTTCAGAAACCAGATAGAAGGGGAAAGTATCTCTGAATTTTTGGCAACCCTGAAAAAAACTGTCCACTACTCATTGTTTTGGTAATGTTCTGAAGGAGCTCTCAGATGAGTCTGAATTAAGAGAGGTTGTTGGATGTTGTGTGTCACAAGGAACTGCCACTAGATGAAGACTGCTCTATTTGAATCCACACAAAAAAGTGCACCGAAATTTGAAAATAAATTGGCCTCATCATGCCAGGCTGGAAACATGGCCTCAGCAGTGGATTAAAGAAACACCACCACCAGTTCAAACCTCTCACAGGAGCCAAACAGAACAGAGGGAACCCTATTTCTGCTGTTTAGTGACACCACACCTGCAGGAGCAGCATTTCCTTAATAAGCTGCAGAGCAAGAAGTGTTTGAAGAAGGGACATGCCAATGGGCAGGCCACAGTGCACCAGACCCAAAAGGAAGCCACCAGTGTCTACATGTAGGAGCTACCATCCTAGTTAGGTGCCTGTCAGCTTCGAATGAAAGGATGCGTGAGCTATACCATTTCACAGAACTGTATGCGGTGGGAAAGGACAGACATATTATCCCCTATATTATGTTAATGTAAAGGTAAATGACGTGATATACAGGAGTGGCCATGTCTGTGATCTCTGGGGGTGGGAAGGTGGTTAGCAAAAAAAAAAAAAAAAATTCCTGGGTTAAGAGCAAGAGAAACTAATGTGCTTTGATAGCTTTACAATTAGGGGCAGAAAGGAGTGTTAGGCAGCCTCCCTGTCACTGTAGTTTAGATAGATATCTGTTCACCATTAGAGTTAATAGTGAGTGAAGGAAATGCCCCCTCCCCACCCCCCCATTGATGGGCATAAACTGGCTATACAGATTTAAATTGGATTGGAGTGTGATGCACCACATGCCAGAAAGAGTGAGGGAACTGAAAAATACAAAGCTGTGGGCTCAGAAAGAGGCATAACCGTGAGGCTGGTTGTGACAAGGCCTACGTTTCTGAATGTTAGACATGTGCCATATGCCCTGTGCAGGAGCCTGTGGAGAAACAAACAGTGACAAGCCCCCAACATAAACTTCCCAGTTTTTTATGCCAAGGGCAGTGATGGTACAAAATTACAGGGGAGGGATGAAGTGAGGGGGAAAACGTGGTAAAGAAGATATTGGACCTAATGGCACATTTACTCGAGATAATGAAGAGGTACATTGACTAACTCAGTATGATTACAGAATGTGGCCCCTGAAGCAAGAAGAGATTGTTTGGGTTTTTGTTGGCTGGAAGAGGAAGAATTGGTGCTGGAAGATGGTGGCCAAAAGAGGAAAAGTGCTCCTGCTGGCACGAGGACAAAGTTTGGATGGCCCTTTCTTTCCCTGACAGGTACCACTGGCCACAGCCTGCAGCAAAATGGCAGACCCTGCTGTAAGGTTAAACTTGTAATTTGGTTTTTATGGTTGTGTTTATTAATTAAGGAATTTACAGGGGAGGACTGTGGTGTTTTGAGGACTGTGTTGGAATTGCAAACTATTGGTTTAAGAGCAGGGTGAGGGTGATGCTCTTGTCCTGCCTTACCGTATAAGGGGGCTCTGTAGCAAAGCATGAGAGTGGCTTGGAGTCACTTTGAAAAGAGCTAGCTTAAAGCAAGGTGGGGAGAGTTGGGCCTCCCTGCTTTAGGGAGCAGCCTGTTTTCCTTCCTCTCAGTGTTTGGGTTTTTGTGTTGTCGTTCAGGGTTCTACAAAACACTGTTATGCTGCAACCTTTCAGCAACAGGATCTGTGTGTTTTAGCTACTTCCCTGTGCGTAGGCTGTGCACATAACAGAAATCAGGCTTGGATTTCTGAGCAAGAAAACTGTCTGCTGCTGTTTGCTCCTACTATATTCAGGGAAACAGGACGTTGGACCACACTGCTTAGAATTCAGAATGATAGCACATAAACTGCAAACCAACCCTAGTATCAATAGCAGTGTGGCTGTGGAAGCAGCGGAGTAGAAACACTCCTGAAATTGAAGGGTACATGCTCAGCTGTCCACTCTACCCCAGCTACACTGCTATTTATAGTGGCACTAGCTCTCTTTTAAGCTACTGCAAGGATGTATATGTGAGCAGGGGAATCACACCCCTAACTTGTAGTGTAGATTAGCCAGAGAAAGAGAAAACAGGCGGCTTGCCGAGGGCAGGTCTACACTTAAAACGGTGCAGCTGCACCGCTGTAGTGCTTTAGTGAAGAGAGTTCTTCTGTTGGTGTAGTTAATCCACTTTCCCGAGAGGGCAGTAGCTATGTTGGTGAGAGAAGCCCTCTCGCTGACCGAATGCTGTCTACAATGGCACTATGTCGCTAACGTAGTTCTACCAAAGTAATTCTGCAGTGTAGACCCGACCTTGCTTTAAGGTGGTGCTTTCCAGACTGCCTGTGGGAAGGTTGCCATGCATTGCTAAAGAGCCCCTTAGCCTGTAAACAGGACAAGGGAACCACTCAGCCCTATCCCCCACGCTCCCACTTTTACACTGATCGTTTACAATTCGAACACTGTCATCAATATAACCCTGTCAGGCCTGTGCCCCAAAGAAGGTCTCTTTCTTAGCTTCCTCCCAGGGCCACGTTCACTGCTTCATTCACTTTCTGGGCCAATCTGCTTCTGACACACACAGACACACTGGCAGCTCCATCACTCAATCCCCTGATTTTTGTAATCAGTCCCAGGGGAACCCCTCTTGTTCTGCCTGAGTTACTTCTTTCTCAGGCCTTCCCATGAAGTCTAATGCCTTGGGAGGTGGCTTGTATTGTTTCAGCTCTCCCTAAACCAAGGGACATTTAATTGTTCCCTCATTTAATGGGGAGGTGGGTGGACGAGAAGACCCCAGAGTGTTTCTCCATCCTTGTCATCTATGATTTTACTGCACTTGGCTAATAACAGTGGAGAATGCTTGCTTCTTCAATGAGACCTATATGGGCATTTTTGTTGTCGTTCCCATGCCAATTGACTAATTTTATATATCACGAAGTGTGGTAAACATTGTATTTGTTTTGACTTTCAGGACACAAATAATCAAGGAAAGAGTCTCTTGGAAGACTGTGAAAAGCAAACTTGCTCAGGAGAGGCAGAATAGTTGTCTGAGGTTTCAAATAAATAGAAACTTAGAACCAAGGCAAATTCTTTGCATTCACTTTTAGGTACGATGTGTACAGTTGCACTAGGAAACAAAAACAAGGAAACACTTTAGCTGCACTGAACTATTAGCAACAGAACAAAACATAAAAAGATGGTTGAAAAGAGAGGAGTAGCTTGTGAGTGTTTTCATACAGACTCACTCTGGCATGCAGAAAATGTGACTGAAGTAGGTGTACTCAAAAACTGGCGCAGTTCTCAGGAAAAATGTTTGTCCATGCAGCAAAACAGCAAGAGAAGGCTCAGTGTCATGGTACACTGTATATTTGTAAATACTGACATTAACTAAGCCCCTTGTGGTAAATCTGTCTTAAAAATAGTTGTTAATTAGTGCTAATTAAATGTACTAGGACTGACAGCTTTGAAGACATCTACAATTGTATAGTTTAGGTATGCAAAGAATGACCATTAATTTTCTGAAGACCTACTAAATACAGCCATACATTTACACCTTACCTATTACTGGCTTAAAAAAGCCCAAAGAGGTGATGGAGAGACAAATTATCTGACCTAGTCTCCCTGAAAAGGGGTATAGGCATCTCCTCAGTCACTGAAAATCCTTACCTGTATACTGAATTAATAATACTTTTGATGTTTTTAAGGGTGTACAGGTGGGGTCCTGTTTGTGATGCCTGTGACACAGAAATGGGAAACTATTGTCTTGAAATTAAGAGAGCCCACATTTTTAAGTCAGTTGTTGGCACCAGCACCATGTTGCCTTTACCAGCACCATTTTTTTAACACATTAGCATTTTGTAACTGATGTTGGTGACCCTGTATATTATTGTAATTCTGCACAAATCCAGAGCTAGGAGAGGCTGGAAATCATGACTTTTGCACATTTGATAAGGTACACTTTCCAGTGTTGGAGGCTAGGCTTGTTTCAGTTTATTTAATTTCTTGGGAATCTACCAGTAGTAGGAACTCATTTGTACATAATACTGCCAGTAATATCTTGTCATGAAAAAGTCAGAGGTTCCGTGCCTGGCACGTATATAATAGTGTAACATCAGAACCAGGTTTAACCCAACATACCACTTTCCTGAAAGGCTTTTTGAACCCTGTTAATATTTAAATGAAAAACACACTCTGAGGATTGCCCCATATGCATCAGCACACACAAAGGAAAGTTTTCTGACATGCAGGGCTGCCTGAGTGAATATGGGAAGCAAAAGTAAATTATAACCTGGTAAAGGAAAACATTAATGGAAACCTAGAATTGGGTTTAAAGTCGAAACCTTAAAAAAAGCCACAAATAAAATTTGGTATATTACCCTAACTGAGGAATTAAAACCCAATTTTTTAATTTTAGATTTTTCTGTCTGCCAGCTAATTTTCAATGCACAGATGACACCAAAACCCCTCTCTCATTCTTCCTAAAACAAGTCCAGCTGAGGAGTCACATTGCCTTTTTTCTGTCTGCTATCACTGTAGACTGTTCTAAAAAATGCAGGCCAATCTTAGTTTTGGAGCCATAGGTGAATTGCCCTATATAGGTTCCCATACAGTTTCTTCCTCACCTCTTCCCAAGATCCCACCACCTCTGTATACCCATGGATGCTTCCCTAGCTCAATTACCTTCTGTCCGCAGACAGTTCATGGTGGTTTCCCATCACAGCTATGGTGAGCCAAGCCTCTAGTGGCCCATATTCCAGACATGGGAAGTCAAGATGGTGAGCTGTAGCTCAGCTTTCCAAGAGGAGAGCAGGGGAGGGAGGGTTAGGAGGTTGTCAGTCTCTGCTCCGACATGAAACTAGTATGGGACTGCGGCTGACAGGCTGGATGTGAGTAAGTGGCTTAGGGCCATAAATGTGGAAGGCTGCCCCCTGCACATGGGTAGTCTTGGTCACTTTAAAACTCTCTGTATGAAGAATGTTAACTTCAGAAATGTGAATGACTTTGTGTGTGTGTGTGTGTGTGTAGTTGCATTACTGACAATTAGGCTTTGTTCCAAGATAATGAGCAGGGCAGTCAGCAGGATTCAAGCAGTTTTTTTTTTTTTTTTGAGCTCTGGGACCAGGCCTCAACAAGTGTAAGGGAAAGAAAAACACTGCAAAATCTGGTTTGGGTTTTCGTTTCATTTTTATTTCTTAAGGTGCCTATTCTACTGCTGCTTTCAACTGTGTAGCTCATCAATTAATATGAAGCATCAAACGCTGTTCGGTCTTCAGTTACTCAGCGCACAGTGTATTTACTCCTCTTCATGAACCTGAAATGTGATTTTTGTGAGAAAGACAGTATAATTCAATTAAGAATGAAAACATTTACATCATTTCTTAAAGAGTAAATTCTCAAGTATCAGACAAAAGCTTCTATTCCCTTTTACCTATTGTATTAACAAATTCTCACTGGCATAAACATAAACTGGTTTCGCTTTCTTGAAGTCAGTGGTGCTATTACTGATTTTCACCAGCTGAGAATACTGCTCAGTTTCTTGTCCTGATACTATGTGTATGTTATTAACAGCTTATGAGTTTCATGCAGCACTGTTAGGAGGTACACCACAGTTCTGTGGTAATATAGCCCATTCTTTTGAAACTGTTCTCGCTAAGGGCTTGTCTATATGAACACTTAATTTGCAGCAAGCCGGGCTGTATATGTATCCATCACTACCTTCCTGGGCACTAAGTGTTTGTGTGGACCCTGCTGCTGTGCACTGAAAGGTCCCTAGTGCTTTTTGATCTTTCCCGCTGTGAAATGGGAGTAGGTCAAAGTGCACTAGGGAACTTTAGTGCAGGTAGGGGCACCAGTCATTTCAACCATGTCACTCCCCTCTTAGAATCCCTCTACTGCTACTGCATATAACTCAAGCTTAGCAGCTTCAGTGTTCCACATAACGCTGCCCTGTCCTACTTATCTGAGCTTGTCTTGCTGCACGGTGCCCTGCTGTTCTACGAAGGTTCTTATGGTGCACGGCATTCATCACAGGTGCTCAGATGCTACAATCAGTAGTTCAGTAAGCAACGTGACTACTGGCTGTCACATGTTTCTCTCATCCTCTCCTGAGGGAGAGAAGCATGCGCAAGTGGAAGCATACACTGCCTCTCTTCTGCTGGTGTTCCCACCCTCAGCCACCCATCTGTCAACTTCTCATATGAGCACCACCATGCCTTTTTCCACATTGCCTCGCTGCATGGCACAGACTTTCTGAGCTTATCTATAAGGCCTTTACCCTCTCAGCATTTAAGTTCCGCTTGAAGATCCACATTTGCCATGTGCCTTACAGTGAATTAGCTCACAAGGAAAACTGTGTACCCCATTCTCCCAAACCTCTATTTTAGACTGAGCTGCTTAAGGCAGGAACAAGGTACTTGTCTGTCAGTGGCTGATGAATGCAAACAATGGATGCTGCTATTAATAATTAAATTAAAATGTATTTGAGTTGTATTAAGAGAAGTTAGGTGTAAAAGTGTAAATTATAATAATTTATAGGATTAAATGAAATACAAGATGGCGTTTAATAAATCTATGCAACAGCTTGGCTTTGTGTGTAACATGAATTCATGGGACTGGAAGAACTTGGACATTCACCAGAAAAATGCACTTTCAGAAACTAGCAAGGGAATAAAAAAACCCCAAAGTTTAATTTTTTAAAAAAAGCTACACAACATTGAGGGAGCCACATTTTCACCCATAGTTCCAGCACCAGTACAGGGCCTAAAGGTATAGAAGGCCAAATCCTTAGCTGGCGTAAGGCAGTGTGGCTTCATCATCAAGAAAGGTATATCAATTTACACCACTGGAGGACCTAGCCCCGTATGATTTATTCTGGTGTGGGCAGGCAAAGGAAATTGGAAAAATCTTGCTATACAATGGATGTCATAACAGAAAGGAGAGGGTGATTGGATAAAGTCTCCTTTTTAAGTTCTGGGGAGAGAGAGAGAGAGGTTTTCTTTGTGCCATCATGGCTGGGGTTGGTCACCCGACACATGCATTTCTAAAATCTTGAGCCTCAGAGTTTAGATTATGCCTCTAAGTCAAGTGGACAAAGATCATTCCAACTCCTTGTTCAATGCCTCATATGTGGATGAGGAGCATACTTGCACCTGTTACGATTTGGGTAATCAAAGGCTCTCTCACTCTTTCAACTGCAGGTCACACCACATCCCCAAAGGTAAGAAATTTGGAACCTTTATTCAACAGCTTGGTGGTAAGTTCCCTTTACTCCAAATGCAAACCCACATACAAATATTAATAAAATATGAATGACTTAGAGTGCCTATACAGCCAATCACTAACACCCCAAACTGCAAAAGCTATCACCCTGCACTGAAAGCGCAGTTTCAAGATGAGGGTGAAATTGTGTGTAACCAAAAAATCTGCCAGTGCCATAATCCTCAGGCTGCACTGTGTTGTGGAAGAGGCCCTACAGGACAGGTAGAAATCCATGGTACATTGCAAGAGACGATGCTTTTGAATACCCACTATCAAAGAATAATATTTGATTATGTATTGGCAAAAACTCTCTTCGAGTTACAGCTGCTCAAGTAACAAAGTTTGTATTGGGATATATTAAGGACATGTTTCTTTGGCAGGTTATAAGGTTCAGGTCACTCTCCCAAAGTTTTTCCGTAATGTAAAAAAATAGAAGGCTGCAATAAAAGCTCACATTTCAATCTGGTTCAGATTTATGATATGGAATAATTTTCCTATCTCGTATAGTACTGATGTAGAGCTGTGCTGATCAGTTCTCCTTCCTCTGCGTGTATGTGTGCACATGTGTCAGTGTGCAGAGACTCACTTATTCTGCAGAATAACACCATACCTTTTTTATCCCAATATCTCTTGTCTTGGTCCTCAGTTTATTAACTTGAGATTCAGCTATTTCAGCCCGTTCTTCAGCATCATCCAGCTCATGTTGCTGCTTCCTGTACTTTGCAAGATACTGATTGGATTGTGCTTCCTGGTAAAACAAAGGATTAGACAAATTTTTCCCTTGTAGATTTGAAAACGGTGATCTTCAGTACCAGGCAAGGTTCAAGTGTGTGAGACTAAGCGGCAAATATCTGTGGGGCTTAACCAACCTTTGCGATGCAAACATTGAGTCAAATGCTTTGCTGGTTCCACCATTACTCCCCATTTTAAGGGAAACTTTCAGGATGGGGAAAAAACCCTTCTAACGTGGAACTACGTTATAGTCATTTTTCAGTAATCACCGACTTAGTGGGTTAACAGAATGTCATGAAAAGTTTCACTCTGGTTGATCCAAACCCCTTGCCCAGGATACACAGAAAGACAGCTCCGGAAAACTATATCCATACACAACACCAAGTGCAAGCTGCTTAAGATGGAACGGGTAGGGAGTGTACAGTGTAAATCAGTACTACATAGATCTTCAGCTAAGCTGAATATATTTAATAAAACTGCTAAATGATTTTTAGTATATGAAGGCCCTGAGACCCAGATCCTCAAAGGTATTTAGGTACCTAGATCTCATTGGTTTCAATGGGAGGTGCCTAAATGCCTCTGAGGATGTGAGCTCAAATGACCAAGGATGCAATTGTCAGTGAGGGCATTACTTGATTAAATTTAAAAAAAAAAAAATCCATGTCACAACTGTTCCTGTCACTTACAGCTTCCTCAGCTTGATGCTTATAGCTTTTCACTTTTAACTGCAGCTTATCGATCAGCTCCTGCATCCTGGTCAGATTCTTCTTATCTTCCTCTGCCTACATCAAGCAAACAGAAAAAATGCTTTAATGGTATGTATAGGCAGAAGGTATGAGTATGTCACGAACTGAGTAAGTTTTGTGAGGCAATTATTTCTATCACATTGGAAATTTAGGACTTTGAAACAAAACAGTTCAACTAGTATCACTATGTATAGAGATAAGAAAAATATTCTAGTGGACTGACCAAGGGTATGTATTTGTTTCAACGGTAAAAGCAACACAGAGCAGTGGAAGGAACTATCAGGAAATATATTTAGAAAGTATCAAGCATAGTGATACAGACTCCCTAACGAATAATGCAGAGATGATGAAGGACATTTCTACTCTATAGAGTAAAAATGGTACCCCAGTGCATATCTTCTCCCTGTGCGTGTGGAAGTTTATCTTTTTATTCCAGTGACAAAAGTAAATTTAATCTATTTTATTCTGGTTAGTAGGGTTAATACCTGAGTGAGAGAGCTGGAGTCTCCTTCTCATGCATCAAGAAAAATGGTACCTACGGATGCTCCTTGACAGGTTTAAATAGCACCGTGTTAAAAATGCTAAAGCTCCAACTCCACTAGATTAACAATTGTTTAGGTTAATTGAGGGTAGCATTGGAAAGTGTTTTTCTAAAATTCACTAGCACAGACAAAGCTTTTGGCAGTGCTCATTTCCACTGGGAGAAGGATGCAGC